ACGACGAATGTAATGTTACATTTGCATTTTAGCTTAATTAACATTTTTTTCCTCTTGCAACGTTTAAATTATTGTCGGAATAACTGTGCACATCAATTTTATAAATGATAAGGAATTAATATAATGAACAAGGAAACTATATTCACGCATACTGAATATTGCAGATTTTTTCATGGTAATATTAACACTAACCTAATAGGATTTTTTTCAAATTCAAAGTTCAGGTAGGCTCCTAGGATCGCCATGTTTTTGATCAACGAAAACTCATGACGTTAAACTTTTCACAAAATTTTGTCGAGTCTCACGACGCTTCACCTCGGGGCAATTTTCATCAGAAATGTGTCATACGGCTTTTATGAATAACGGCTCGGGGCTGTGAGCAAAAAGTCAAGAAAAATACATTGTAATTGTTACAAAAATGTGAAAAATCTTATTTACTTCATATGCTATTAACAATTAATCTTTTGCAAGCATCCGCTTGTTTTACATAATGTAGACAACCTCGGGACCGCAATTAGAGTAATAGGTCAATTCTTGTTCAACCTATTTGAAATGTCTGTTCTATCATCACACTTTTATACTACAAATTATGTTTTTCGATAACAATACGTTACGTTTATGGATGAATAAATAGATGGATGGATATTTATTAGGAGGTATGTCCAGAACGGTTTAACGGATCGTGACGAGATTTGGTACAGATGTAAAACATAGTCCGCAAGAACACATACATTATTAAGTTTTTTTAAATTTCGCGCGAACATAGACGCGAGCGACTCTCATAATAAAAATCAGATTGAAATTGAAAACCTCATGATTTTTTTATTATATATAAAATTGGCTAAAACATGTTACACTGAATAATTCTGTTTTTTCTATGCGTAATTATATTCTAACACGTTTCTTGTGAGTTGTTTTTAGCTTGATTAAAACTTCAAAACGCTTCGTAAAATTAAAGTTATTAAATCGCCTTATAATTTATAGTGATATCATCGCAAGGTTAAAATAATTAAGGTTAACTCAAATATCTGCCATCAATATTCTGATCCCTTATGTACTATGTATATAGTCGTACTAGCTATCGCCTGCGACTCCGTCCGCACTAAAATAAAAAAAACAACCTAAGTAATAGATTATGTGTTCTTCCAGGCTGTTTTACATCCATACATTCGCATTTATAATATTGGTAAGATTATTGTACCAGCAGTATTATAATAATAATCTTATAAGCATTTATAGATATTTCATTTATATCATTAGCGATCGTTTAAGACATTTTTAAATTACAATATTTAAATTACAATGCATAAAACATGAAAATCAATATATATATATATATAAAATACTAGATGTCGCCGGCAACTCTGTCTAAGCGGAATTAACATAATTAGTACCCTATATGTTCTTCCAGATTGTGTTCTATACGTATGCCAAATTTCATCGAGATCCGTTCAACCATTCTGGAGATACCTTCAATCAAACATCCTTCCATCCAAACGTTCGCATTATAATATTAGTAAGATTTCTAAGTAATATCATAAGTATGCACCAAATGTAATTTACACATGCTTTATTAAGCATATTAAAAATGTCTGCGTTAATTTTGAAATCTTTTCTTATGTATGCCGTTGGCTTCTGTACATAATCAAACAAATGATACTAGTCATGAAATAAATTCGCCCTATCATTATGCGGGATAGTATACAAATTTCAATGTGAGAAAACTGGAAGCATCAAGCGAATACTTTTGAAAATACGAATATAATATATAAAGTATGATTGATTGTGTCCAAACTGGACATAATAGATTTATGTGCTCAGTTTGTAATACGTATTCTATTGTACTAGGTGTTGCCCGCGACTCCATCCGCGTGATATTAAAATATTCATAATTAATAACTTATATGTTCTCCCTGACTATGTTCTATGGGTATGGCAAATTTAATCGTGGTCCGTTCAGCCGCTCTGAGGATACCTTCTAACAAACATCCATCCATTCGCATTTATAATATTAGTATGATAATAGCGATCTGTATTAACCCTAGCCTTTTATCGCGCGATAACAAACCGGTCTATTAGAAAAATAAATACATTTCCAAGTATCTGTTCATATGCCAGCGTTTTTAAAACGCGATGACTTTTTATCGCGCGGTGTTCCATTTTGAACCCTAGGGGAATGTTATAAGTGTGATTAATGCGTTCGGCACAAAATAATCGCAACGTTGAATAAGCGCGCGTGCGAATAAGCGCTAATGGTATTGAAAAATATTGTAAAGAAATATTGGCCCAAACTAACTAATTACGTAATTTGGTACCGTAGAGTCTTATCTCTTTTATCTACCTGATTGACAAGAGATTAATTCTCCTGAGTAAATAGGTATGTACCTATTTACTAAGTACATATGTATGTACTTATTTATGTATGTGAGTTTGTACGTCGGTTAATTCCATTGTGTCTGTTGCAAGCCTTAATGAATCAACCGATTTTTATGATTGAAGTGTCATTCGATTCGACTTTTTAATTATCTTTCATGTTTTATTATCCATGTCGTATTCTATTTTTATTCTATAACTAGCTGTCACCCGTGACTCCGTCCGCGCGGAATTAAAAAAAAACTTAATAAGTAGCCTATGTGGTCTTCCAGACTGTGTTCCACATCTATGGCTATTTTACGAAATCCGTTGAGACTTTCCGGAGATACCTTTAAACATCCATCCATCTATTCATCTAAACATTTGCATTTATAATATTAGTAAGAAGTAAGAAATAAGATAATACATGGGCTATTATATACTATATACACTTTTGTGCCAAGTATTCTTTAATAAAAACGTGCTTTGATCTGACTCACCATACTCCATAACGTAGTAAATATCATCATATATTTCATGCAATCATTAAAACGTAATTTATTTTTGATTACTTTAATAATAATTTGTAATAAATTAAAAACAAGTTGTGAGTATAAATCTGAGATTGTGGGGAATCTTCCATTCAAAATAAGAAACATGTATTAAAATGTAGTAAAAAATAAATAAAAACAAAGGTATTTTTAATATGTCCGTTATAATAATTTTAGCTGGGAATTAAGAAATAAATTTGAAGTTTCTCAGATATAGTATAGAAATATAGAAAAAGGAAATTAAGTACCAACATGTCGTTTATTGAGAACATCGGTGGCTCAGGAGTCAAGCACTTGACTTGTAATTTACAGGTCCTAGGTTCGAAATCCGCCATGTCATTGGTACGGTTTTTCGACATTCGATTTACAGTCAGCGTCATATAGATCGACACAAACAAGATATGCAAATATATAGGTACACCAATAGTAATCAATTATATCAGTACAACAAAAGTCCTCAAAATAATAGATACATTCACCCTGCTCAAATACATCGGTACATACACAGCGTCAAATATATGAGTACATGCAAGATGCTCATAAATATCGTAGCAGCCACAGCGTCATAAGTAACGAAGCAGTCAAGGTGCGCAAAAATATCGGTACATTTGACAAAATTGAACTCTATCTCTCTATATACTTGTGATACAATTTGGAATAAACTACTTCTGTTACATTCATTTGACACTTTGTATTAACATTATAGGTTGTCCGGAAAGTTCGTTCTGATTTTCGATATAAAGCTTACAATAGACTGTAGCTGAAGTGGATTCATTTTCGGATTTCCACCATTATCAAACGTCACAAAAATTTCTATATTGTGAATAATTTCATTTCATTGGTTGAGATAAAAACTAATTTTTAAAATTTTAGCCAAAAATAAAAGATGTTTTAGATATAGAGTCGTACCAATATAATTTAAAAACATTTCCAAAAATTTAAGAGAACAGGGTTTCAATTTTCCTTCTTCATTTTTGTTTGAAATTGAAAAGTACTTTAACGGTCAAACTCATTAGTCCAAGGCAAATACGGCGATAGAATTTAATTACATGTGCTTCGATATTAAATTTAAAAACTTAAATATTAAAAAAAAAATTGTGGCTTGGGATTTGAACCGCCGACCTTACGTACCAACGGCGGCGAACGGTAAGGCCACGAGACCAAACTAGAATATATGATGACAAACTTAAATTTGATGTTGGTTTTATCTACCTAATATCTGTCATCCGCGACGAACACTTTTAGTAAATTTTGAAAAATGGTTTGATGCAAAGTGTCAAATGAATTTAACACAAGTAGTTTATTCAAAATTGTACTACAAGTGTACAGAGATAGAGTTCAATTTTGTCAAATGTTACGATCTTTTTGCGCATCTTGACTGCTTCGTTACTTATGACGCTGTGGCTGCTACGATATTTATGAGCATCTTGCATGTACTCATATATTTGACGCTGTGTATGTACCGATGTATTTGAGCAGGGTGAATGTATCTATTAATTTGAAGACTTTTGTTGTACCGATATAACTGTACATATGTACAGTCAGCGTCATATAGATCGACACAGACAAGATATGCAAATATATAGGTACATCAACAGTAATCAATTATATCGGTACAACAAAAGTCCTCAAAATAATAGATACATTCACCCTGCTCAAAAACATCGGTACATACACAGCGTCAAATA